CATTACACTGCTTTACACAAGTTGGCATTTGATGAGTATTTCCTGAATTACACCGACTACTGATCTAAGAACTTCTGTACAACTTTCTAAAACTCTCTGTTATCTACCCTATATATCACTCTGAACACATCTTGACCATAAATATGCATCTTTAAAGGGCTGAAAGAACCCTAAAAGGAGAGCTAGGCAGTCCTCATTTGCCAGGGAGATAGAGGAGTGACAGCACCAGTCAGGACAGCAGAGTCTAGGAACAAGGCTTCCCTCTGCAGCCAGGCAGGCTCCCACAGCATTCACATCAGGACACATTCCCATCCCAGCTACATTCAACAACCCACCACACCACACTTTCTGACAGGACCCATAACTTCTGCATAGTCTGTCAAGAGTGGACCATTTTGTGAAATAAAATACAGAGAATAGGCAATGCAGCAGTTTCTCAGATACTTACCAGAAACCCATTTAAACACAGACTTGAAGGAAACTTTGAGAGCCCACTGCCCCAAAGCCCTGAGTCCTGTGGCTGTACGTGCCTGGGTCTCCCATGTCCCTTGAGTAGGACTGTCAGACCCTGTCATTAATCAGAGGACCCTGTAGGTGACTTCAAAAACAATATAAAAACACCCAGGTTATGTTACAAATGTACAGTCTCTTCCCCATATACACATATACTTCCACTCCTGAAATTATGATTTGCAAAAGGTCATCTGCTTTGGACTCTACCAAGCCAGAATATTGAGGATACAGTGGGTGGGTATATGTGCAGTCAAGGGAGAAGGCTGTGTACAGAGGGAGAAAATATATGGATTCACATCAGAAGCACAGGGCTCTATCTGTGCAATGGATGGACTTCTTGGGAGGTAACTGGGGTCACTCAATGATGTCAGCAGGGGCAGACTTAACCTGCAGTTTTTTTTAGGACGTCTCCTGTCTGCAAGAGGTTCTGGGACAGTACCACACAGCCCGATTCCACATCAGTGACAGTGACCTCACAGTTTCAAAACAGAAGTCATGTTATCCTAAATCCAAATGTTTTCCAAGTCTATAGATTTCTACTAAATTCTCAGATTCCATAGTGAAATTGTTTAAATGGTCACAAAACAATCCAATATTCATTTTTTTTAATTCAGAGGATTATTTTCTTTCTACTGAATCTGTAGACCATTTCATTTACTGTGGCTTTACAATTCTATTGAGTTTCTGGTAAATAATAAGCTATGTGAGGGGCTGGGGAGGTGGCTCAGTGGTAGAGTGCTTGCCTTGCATGCCTGAGGCCTGGGTTCAATTCCTCAGCACCACATAAGCAAAAAGAAAAAAAGCCAGAAGTGGTGCTGTGGCTCAAGTGGTAGAGCGCTAGCCTTGAGCTGAAGAGCTGAGGGACAGTGCCCAGGCCCATTGTTCAGGCCCCACAACTGGACCCCTCCCCCCAAAAATAAGCTATGTGGATCTCAAGATAACTATAGCTATTTATTAATATTTTTGTATGGACAAAGATTATTAGTCGTAAGTGCTTTGGATGTGTTTTGTAGATGAATTCTCCTGGCACAGCATTTAATAAAATAATAAAAGAATGAAACTGCAGCATGCAGTGTGCGGTGAAATGCCTGTTGATCTACTTGTTCCATTTAACTATAATTTCATGGTGCCAGTGCAGAAGTAAGAAATGAATGTTTGCTACACAGAAAACTCTAAAATCAGCAGCACAGCCTATCAGAACACACAGCACATACACTGTTGGAGGACTGGGAACCAGGTAGGCTTTTTCTCCTTTAAGAAAGCCTCAGAACACAGAAATGGAGGGCCAACAAATGCTGCAAGGTCCTCGCTGGACACTATGTTAAAAATGAACTATAGAACTGTGGGTGGAGATGGGAGGGAAAAACTAGGAGAGAGAGAGAGAAGGGATGACATTGTCCAAAAAGAAATGTTCCTTTTGCCTGATTTGTGTAGCTGTAACCACTGTACCTATCACTTTTATAATACAATAAACATTTTTTAAAGTCAGGCCAGGTGCTGGTGTCTCTGCCTGTAATCCTAACTACTCAGGAAGCCAAGCTCTGAGGATTGCAGTTCAAAGCCAAAGGGGGCAGGAAAGTCTGTGAGATTCTTATCTCTGATTAGCCACCATAAAACCGGAAATGCCACTGTTGTTCAAGTGGTAAAGCACTTGCCTGGAGCTGAAGAGCTGAGGGATAGCCCCAAGGCCCAGAGTTCAAGACAACCACCAAAAAATAAAAAATTAAAGCCAAACCATTGGTCTTAATTTAAAAAAGAAAGAAAGAAAGTCTCAGATGGTGGTGCTTCCCTTTACCTGTCTGTTCTCTGTGTCTGAGGAGGCTGTGCCCACCTGGCAGCCTGCACCTCTCTGGTCTGCTTACTGGGTTGAGTGCCAACTCCATACACCTATGATGCTAATGCAGGACCAAGCCACCTGGGCTAGGGCCAGTGATTTCATTTTGTAACTAAGTTCTTGGAAGATTTATCCACACCAAAACACCAGCGAGGACACTGGCTTGACCTTCCTCTCCAGCAATCCCATCTTATGCTCTCCTCTCTCAACATGCTCCTGCTAACCTTACCACAACGAGAGCTTTCTTGGGGACTGAAAGACACCTGGGCTCCCAGAGTCAAAAGTACTTTCATCTTCCGGACTTAGGAGGGAAAATCAACTATAAACCACCTCGTGCTAGCTTCATTTTCAGAAGCAGGCCAGCCAGGGTTTTCATAAAAGTTTATAGTAATACAATGGCATTTTCTCAGTTTCTGATACAGGTTTTAAACGACTTTCTGCACTCACGAATGTATCCCGCCACTCCTGGGTTCCAGGTCTGCATAGAAAGAATCACGAGCATCCTGAACAGGGCGGTAGGGCCATGTCTGAGTCTGAGTGCTCCTCCACTGGCCATCACTCCAGTCCTCCGCTTGGTGCTAACGCCTCCTTGCTGCTCTCTTCTTCTGTGTGTTTCAAGTAGGCAGAGCACACCCAAAATAAGCTTCAACCTGTAAACCCCACCGCAGCCCTCCAGCACACTGCTCTGTGCCCTGGAGCCTGCTGAGCCTCCAACCCAGATGCTCCTTGGGACCACTATCGCCACTTGGTGCCGCGAGCGCCCCTGCTGGTGTCCGCGAGGAAGTGCAGACCAGACATAAACCCCGCACATTTGCCAGGTTGAGCCTGGCCAGGAACCTTTAGACTCAACTGTGCTAATACACAGAATTACTGGGCACCACTGGCTCATGTCTGTAATCCTAGCTACTCAAGAGCAGAGATCTGAGAATCACAGATTGAAGCCAGCTGAGGCAGCAAAGCATGTAAGATTTTTATCTCCATTTTATCAGGCACATAGCTTCCCCCCTGCCCACCCCAAGCCACACAAACACAAAGCCAAGAGTGGAACTGTGTAGAGCACTCACCTCGAGCACAAAAGCACAAGGACAGCGTCCAGAACCTGAGTTCAAGCCCCAGGACTGGCAAAAAATTAGATAAATTAAAAATAAACCTAATTTGAAAATGGCACAGGGCATCAACCAGAATTTTTCCACAGCAGAAGTACAGCCTCATGAAACATCACTAGTCATTAGGAAAAGGCCAAACCAGAGGGTCCCATCCCTTTACATCCACTAGGATAGCTGTTATAAAGCAAGCAGAAGCAAGTGGAGCTGTGCTCAAGTGGAAGACTGTTAGCCTTCAGCAAAAAAAAAAAAGCTCAGGAAGAGGCTTCTGCCCTCTTCAAGCCCAAAATCAGCACACACGAAAAAAAAAAAAAACAGAAAGTTGATGTTGGTAGGAATGTGAAGAACATAGAACCCTACTTTCTTGCTAGTTTTTTCTTTAGGTTGTTTTGTTTGGCAGTCGTATGATTTGAACTCAGTACCTCACACTAGGCAGAGCTAGGGCCACACCTATTTTTTGCTTTTTAGTTATTTTTCAGATATTTTTCAGTTATCTTTCTGGTATTTTACCTTAACGCCACCTTTGGACTTCAATCCTCTACTTCTTGTTCCTGCTTAGATGGAATTACAGATGAGAGACACCAAGTCATCCTAGGCCATTATGCCATTTCAGCAGGAAGCATCTAGACATCGACAATAACTCTTTTTAAAGAAATTAGTGAGTAAAATTGAGAGTGGGGAAAATGTAAAAGGACCCGACATCTGAATATGTTTACATGTGAAGATTTAACTCATGACTTGACCAGGATGCTTCCAGTTTCTTGAGTTTTTCAAAGGCAGCATTTTTCTCTTCTTTCTCACTCTCCTATCCCCCCACCTACCCACCCACTTGCCATTTCCTAGGAGAGGAAATTCAGGATGATTCTCATACCTTCAGTCAAGGTCACCACACTCCTCTCCTTATCTTGCTTTCCAAGGTATTGAAGGAACATTTAGGACGATGACTACATCTCTGGAGACTTCTGGTTAACACATTTGGAAATAAGCAGGCCAAGAACACCATTAGGCTGGAACTTCACACCTCAGCACTTAAATTCATCAGGAAGTCCATGCTCCTGGACCTGTCCATAAAAGCCTCCTTCTTCCCCTACCCACAAGGACTGCTCTTCTTTCTCAGGCAATAGCTCACGTAGGTCTCATTTTGCCTGAAAATTTATAAACCTTTATTTCCTTTACTCTAAGACATTAATCTCACTGACATTGAATTGACATTGAATTCAGGGAACTGAATTTCCAGTAACATGGGAGAGTTGGGAGCTGCAGACAGGGGTCATCTTGAGACTAAAAAGCAAAGTGAACAACACAAAATCCAGAGTAAATTTTCAAAAACTGTTAACTATATGGGCTTTAAGCAGTGATCTCCAAAGAAACAGGTTATGTCTCAGTTCAAGGGAAAGGCACAGGAAATGGATGGAAGTACGCCTCTGACAGGTTGAGCAGGTGAATTTGGAGGTAGGAATCTAGAGGGCCCAAGAATGAAGGACTTGCTGAGCTGGTGGCAGGGGTAGGGCTTTGTGACACATCACTCCTCCCCCTTTGTGACTTACTAGAAAACCAGGTCTTTGTGATGTAGGCCTTCATTTACTATATATTGCCAAAGAAACTCCCAGAGCTCAGTTGCTCAGGAGCAATAGTGCAATTCAGATGATGGAGAATCCTCTCTTGTCACTGAAAAGCGTTGCTATACCATGGCTGAGCCCGGAACTCGCCACCTTTGCAATGGATATGATCCTTGCCATTGTGGGTGGGGTGGGGCTCTTCCGCCTGCTACTGCTACTTCCCTGCTTCAAGGAAAATCCATCTTCACCAACACCTGAGAGAAAGAACAAACTGACTAAGGTAAGATCCCTAGGGACAGACCAATCAAAAATGAGTATACACACACACACACACACACACACACACACACACACACACATTGGAATTTTACTTATCAGTTAGAGTGATATTGTAGCATCTGTAAAGGAATGGAAGACTTAGGCAAATTAAGTGAATTAAGTCAATCCCAGAGACAAAGGATCCATGTTTTCCTTTATATGTGGAAGCTAGATTTAGCTTATATATGCACAAATACGGTGGGTGCTATTCATGTGTACACAAATGTATTGACTGAGATATGGTAGAGTCAAAGCAGATCTCAAAGTGGAATTCATTAGAAAGCTAAAAATCCAAGTTCAGTAAAATAAAAAACAACAGGAAATGAGTTCTTGACAGGGTGGGGAGGAGGCAAAGGGAAAGGGGTAGTCACTGGAGAAGAGGGGGAAAATGTAGACAAGAATCCAATGTATAATCTATCACAATAAGAAGGAAAGGGCTGAGTGGGGGAGGAATGGGAGACACTGTGGAAAGGATTAACAGTGATCAAGATACATGATATTCACAAACTGCTTTGTGAAATGGCAACTCCTGTTTACAACTACTTGATAATTTTCTAAATGGTTCTTTTGTTTACTGATGTTTGCACTTCTCCAAAACAAGTAGCAAGGCTTCTAGAGGGGAAATTCCAGAAAAGAAGAGAGCCATCTTCTCCTAGGCACTATCAGCACAGGGCACAATGTCAGTAGCATAAGGTAGTATTCTGAGCTCTCAGAACAGCTTTGTGGTGTGCAGCAAGTACCAGGGTTAATTCAAACCCTGAAACTCAGCAACCAAGGACTGAGGTCCTGAGAGCTGAGGACTTGAACACTCAGCCCTATGTCACAGTAGGTGCCTGAAAACTGCACTCTCCCCAGTGTTAGGCTGATTAGAGGGCTGTTCAAAGCCCATGTCAACCTCCCATCAGAGGCTAAGGTCACCTTTGGACTCAGGAAGGAAAAGCCAGTCTGGAAGATGAGAGGCACCTGGAAATCAGGGTCTTGGTCCTGAGAACAGAAAAAGCACTGAGGTGATCTTTGTTGTCTGTCTCATATAAGAAAAACAGAAATAATTAGCAGCCACACTAACTGTGAAGAAAGGAAATACAGGGACACAGGTGAAGACATCATTTTATCCAGAAACACCAAATATCTCAACTTGTCTAGGCAAAGGAAAAGAGTAAAGAGGTCTAAGTCGTTTTTCTCATCTCTCAGTACCCTGTGGAGAAAAGAGGCCAGATCAAGAGCAGGAAGAAGAGTGTTGCTCTGAAAGGTAGGCTCTGCACTTTCTCCCAAGGGGATTTGATCTCTATCTCTGACAACCAGAGCTAGGCCACCAAGTATTTCAGGGTGTAAAACCTTAGCAGGAGAGTCCTGGGAAAGAAACCAGAACTGGAGACACTTCTCAGGTTCTCTGCGTGGAATGAAGCTGCTAAGTATCATGACAAATGGGAGGGGCTGAGAGACTTTGAGGTAACACTGCTTTGCTGTGGATGTGTGTCACACAAGGGGAGGGGCTGAGAGGCTGTGAGGTCACACTGACTTGATGTGGAAGTGTGTCACACAAGGGGAGGGGCTCAGAGGCTGAGAGGTAACACTGACTTGAAGGTGTGAACTCCAGGCCCATATGTGGACCAACTCAATTCCCTAAGAACTGTATTAATGATGAGACACCCTTTCTCTCCCAGTCTACCAAGAGAGGTTCTGCAGGTTATGGAGGTTTTCCGAGCAGGTGGTGCCTTGTAAATAAAGAAGCACTACCTTTCCCTATAGCCTCTTAGCACTGGCACCTGTCTTGCCGCCATGAGTATAGATTTGGGATCTAGTGAGATCTTCCATGTTCTTTAATAGAGAGATGTTTCCTTCAGCCTCCTGAGAGTCCTGGGGCCCTCCCTTTCCTGCCCTAACCACTGTCTCTGTTTCTAGTTTGCAGACAGACTCGGGAACACATTGAAGAGATTCATGACCTAGTTTCCCTTTGTGTACATAAAGATTTTCCATGTATCCCTGTGCCTGCATTTCTACTCCAGGGAATGGAGTTATTTTGGGATTAAGGAAGAGTTTAGGTTGGTCTAGGATGTGGCTGAAATCTCAGATGTAGAGAAGTACGGGCTGTGTAAATATCAGGGTATAGTTTTGTGGGTGCCATGGAGCGCAGGTTAACTACACTTGCTTGTCTGGCCTATCTTGCCCATCCTGCTAGGCCTATCTGTTGCTTAATAAAGTTTGTCTCCTCTCTCGTACAGACACCTCTGGAAGCTCAATGACACCGGCAGCTTTCAGCACTTCTTAAACGCAGATGCCCTAGGTGAAGTTTTCAACTCAGAATCTGCTACAGTCCACCCATTACCGAGGCATTCTGAGGAGGACATTTTCTCCAGCATTTTATCCCGGAAGACTTCCCCAACCCCTTCACCTGAATTCTCTGTCTCTGGCCTCTACCTTGTCACAAGTATAGATGTATTCCCCAGTTTCTGTTGGGTCATACTCATCCCAGAATGTGTGTCTGCCTCTTGAATCTTTGATTGCTCTAAAGAACAGTTATTGTGCTCACTTGCACATTCTCCTCCCCCTTCTCATTCTCCTCAACCTGTGTCCCTGCACTACACTCAACCTGAGTCAAACATGGAACTTCAGGGAAGTCCCACCAGAAACCTCCCTACAGAGCTCTCCAACCAACAGCTCTAGGGTGCCTTCTCCTATCCCAGCCCTTAACCCTGATATGCTGGAGCTGCCAGAGATAGTGATTAGAAAGAGCAAAACTAAAAGCTTTTCAGGAGAGAGAAAACCCTCTGGATTCTCTGGGGAACAGGATGCAGTCCCTGGGCATGCCTGGCATGCCTTCCTTCAGCCCTTCTGGAACATAAAGGGAAACACAGAAGCTTACTGATTCTCAGGAGGTATTTTCCCCCACAGTGTTGGGGGGCCTTCCCTTTCTGAACAGTGAGTCCCTGGTGGCTCCTGTCAAGATGTCTGGTCATCCATTAGACTTATCCTCTATTTTGTTCAACATATTCTCTAAATACATGCCAGTACAAGTTCAGATTAAAGTTCCTCCACAGTTCTTTCTACCCCAGCCCTTGGTGCCTCATTCAGTCCAAGTTCAACACTTCATGCAAACTGTGCCCTGGCCCCAGCCTCCACCAATGGCTGAGTCTGAGGCCCTTGCCCATTTACATCTTGTGCACCATTCCTAGCATTTCATTCAGCTCCAATGAAGACATGTACATTTTCTGGCCTTACAGCCTAGAAAAAGTTCAAATTTCTTAGTCTACCTGCTGTTGAACAGGAAGAAAATCACTTTGTAAAGAAGTGCCTGGAAAGTCATAGGATTTCACCCTCTGTGGTCCAACAGTTTCACAAAGCTTTCACTCATGATCCAGGGCCCCTGGCAAAAGAGGCTATCAGCCTTCCAGGTGATTTTGTCAGCTTTGGGTTGAAGAAAAAGTTAGAACATCATCTCCAAGAGAGACTCATGCAGTACCTCTATAGAACAAAATTCAAGATCTAGATGTCTCCTGATGGGAAATTCCCAGGAACAGACCAGGTAGGGGACAAGTATAGGTGTTTACAAAACTCCATATTTGTAGATGAGAGGAGCCAGAATATACAGAAGACAACCTCAGAGTGCTCAGAAGTGTTTCAGGGATGGGAGAACTCCAAATAGGACCTGGAACATTGTAAGTGCAGAATAGTGAAAGATCTGGATGGGGACACAAAGCTCCTGGGTGGATTTTCTAGATGCATAACTGAGAAAGAATTAGGAAAGGATTTGAATGGACCATCAAGTCATGGTTCAGAATACACTTCTCTGATTCATTCAAAGAAGAACTGCTTAGTTAAAAAAAACATAAAATCCCATCTTATCAGAAAATGGGAGTTTATCAATATCATTAGTTATTCCAGGGGCACCACAGACTATGCTTTGTCCCCCCACCTCCCCCCACACCTTGAAAACTCCAAGTTTAGCATGGACACGGGCAGAGATCCACCCTTGGGAACTATGCAAACCTGCAAGAGTTCCTCCCAGGAGGTTTACCACTTTGATGCTGCCACTCGACAGCTATAGGACCCTCATGTTAAGAAACTGGGTGAAACGCCAGTAGGGCTTGTGCCTAAAGATTCTCAAGCCCATAAAAGTCTCCCCCCATACCAATTTCACAGGGAGTGTCTGTGAACCTGGCCTGTAGTGACTTCAAGGCCAATCCCACAGACAAGGGGGTCCAGTTCCAGGGAGAAGATTTCACAATGTACCAAAAAATAAGAGAGAAAAAACTGATAATCATACATCAATTACCTTCACCACATGAAACTCTGAGAGGAGCATACACTGTATTGTCACAACTGTGTTCTCTCAGCAGTCTCTCCAATTGGAGAAGGGAAGGTGGACTGTTTTCTGAGGTCAGATTGTATAGTCTTGTAGGGAGAAAACTGGCACCATGATAGTGTTCCATGATCAGAGAGAAGTAGTCTAGAACCACCTACAAGCCTTGTAATGGGCATATCTGAGACATAAAATGAAGAAAGCCTCTGCCACAGTGTGTCAGTAGGAGAGATCTTTGTTGAATCCACATCTGAAAGGAAAGATCTCAGGGAAATGGCAGAGGGTGAAGAGATCCTGCCCATTATCTTGACAGTCCACAGGAATTCCAATAATTTGTACTTTAGAAGGTTAGAACTTCTGAAGACCACTCAAACACCATCCCCCTCCAAAATTTCTATTTCCAAGCATCCTGCCTGAAAGAACAGGAATAGTCAAGCAGTACAAGTGAGAGTCCAGCTTTTGATCATATCATACAGGATGTGATGCTAACACATTCCGTGAAGACTGTATGTCCTCAAGGTGCTGCTTGCAGCATACATGCTGCCTTCCACCCACTTCCTATGAGTTAAGCTCTGCAGAGCCAAGAAGAGGATGCATGAAGAAGCAACAGGATGCCAAGACATCCAGCTTCCAGGACTCATGGTAGAGCAAGATGGTTAATGGGCCTGATGAAAGAGATTATCAGAGACCCAAAGCTAGAATCCAGAAGGAAAAGCTTACAGGAATGAGGCCCTCACAAGGCCAGGAGCTGAATCCTCCTGCCCAGTTCTGGAAGATAAGTACCACAAGGAAGATCTCTTCCTTATCTGTACTGGAGAAAGGACAGCATCCTCCAGAAAGTCATTCAGGAACCAGATAAATTATTTTTTGTCAATTTTTTCCTAGTAAAGACAAAAGTCAGGTAAAGTCACTGGAAAATTCAAAGATCCAGTCAGCCAGTACCCAGAAGCAAGACTTAATTTAACCACAAGCAGAATTTTCAAGGACAGTGGAGTTTCTGAAGTGCAGACATGCCTGAGCACTGTTGGAAGAATCATAGGGAAGAAAATGGGATTTCAATATGAATCTTATGTCTCCAAGAAAACATTGCAGAAAGCAGTATTTTAACCTCCCCTCTCTCAACATTCCCACTATCATACGGCTCACCTTTCTCACTACCCCATGGAATCTTTCTACCTAGAAGGAAGCCAAGTAAAGAACAGCAGGGTCTCTTTTGCCAACCAGCCCCACTGGCCATAGCCATCCTGTTAATGATTGGAGAGTCTCATACTATCACTACCCTGAACAGTCTTGCTTCCCAGAAAGCCTGCATCTCTACTCAGCCGTGCCTGCCAGCCTAGGGAAATATATGTCTCAGGCCAGCATACACACTTCCCCATGGCACTGTCATCATATTAGTTTAGTGGTCTGTCACACATACCAAGCTTCTTACATGGTATGTAAGGTGAAGTTTTCTTTTCTTTTTTTTTTAATGCGTTTTTTATCATTAAAAAACTACAGAGGAGTTAGTTACATGAACAAGGTCATGAATACATTTCCTATCAAGCATAGTTACCTTCTCCTTTATTTTCCCCTACCATCCCCCCCACCTCCACAACCTCACTCCCCCCTCCCCTACTTCCCCCCTCCAGGCTTAAATTGTAAAGTTCATTTTCAACATAGTATCTTGTACATCTCATTGTTACAATGGGTCAACCTGTATCCCTATTTAAGCATTTTGTTTTTTCCCTTCCCCTCCCCAAACTCCAGAAGTGTATATACAAGATGCAGGCACCAACATCAAAAACAGTGAAAACAGGGATTATACTGTTGGGGAGGAACATACAAAAAAAATCACATGGTACATTATAAATATGTTAGGCACAATAGCAAGAAAGAAAAAAACCACATGTCCCTATCTTGAGGTTCGTTTCACTGAACATCATCTTATCTGGTCATATGTACATAGC